GACACTCCCTTCTGGTCTTTAAATAATAGTGGAATATTTACTACCAACTCTTGTTATGAGATTGATAATAATAACAATTGTGACAAAAACTTCACTTGGATCTGGAAGTTACATTGCCCAAATAAAATAAAATTCCTTCTATGGCAATGTTATCATGATAGACTTCCTTGTCGTGCTTATCTTAATCACATTGGTGTTAACATTGATGCACTCTGCCCTATGAACAAAAAAGAGGAAGAAACTATCCCTCACATCTTTTACAAGTGCACTATTGCTCAAAATTTCTGAAGGAGTCTGGGAGTTTCCAACCTTTCGCACTTGGGCAACAACCACTGGCTCATTGCCCTAAAAAATATGTCTATTACCCCCTCGTATACGCTTATTAACTGGGAAAACATGTTTCCTTTTGCAATTTGGAGCCTGTGGATCAATAGAAATAATAATAACCAGAATAATATGGTATGTTCTCTTACTCCCTCTAACGTTATCAGGCATGTCATTGAATGTAAATTTCTCACAGAAAGAGAATCCAACTTGTCAAAAATTAAGAACTTTGAATGTTAAGTGGTATAAACCATCTCCTGGTTGGTACAAACTGAACACTGATGGTGCTTATAAAGGAATTTATTGTATTGTGGTCTTGGTGGTGTTCTTAGAAATTATAATGGCGATTGGATATTTGGTTTTTCTAAATGTGCTTATGCAGGTTCGGTAACTCAAGCTGAATTATTGGCTCTTATGGAAGGACTCCAGCTAGCAGTGAATTTAAATCTCACACCTCTTGAGATTGAGACAGATTCCACGGAGGTAATCAGAACTCTTGAACATGGTTATCCCACTTGACACTTTAATTCGCGATTGCAGTCTTTCATGCTCCAGTTGCATAAGGTGGTAATCAAGCATAACTTCCAAGAAGGCAATAAAGTAGCTCACTTTTTGGCAATAAAAGCTCCTAGTCAGTCCGACATCAACAAAACAACTCACTTTACAGTTCCCCCTCCATTAGTAGAATCTATAGTTCGTTCTAATAGAGAAGGAACGCATACTGTGAGAACAATTTCGGATAGTATATGCACCAAGTTGGCTGAGCTTGGTAATCAAAATGCCTTAGAAGGCATTTCTATGATTTTGTAATTCTCTGACATCTTTAAGCATTAATATAAATATTTCTTATTCTGTCAACAAAAAGATTCTGTCACAAATTTCAATAAGGAATGTTAAAATTCGTCAAAAATAATTCCCGACAAAAACTCTGCAACATATTGGTTCATTGCCGATCCTGAGAACTCTATAGTGATATTAGCAACCTAGCTATGAGTTACAACGAAGACTTTCGACAATATCATCTTGCTACTTCCTAGAAGATCGCGTGAAATATTACTTGCCACATATAACAATAATTAATTTTAGCCAAAATTATATTATTTAACTGTAAGATTGCTTGTGTAGCCTATAATCGTATTATCAATAATTTTAAGTCGCAGCCATTTAAACATTATATTTCTTGTGACAAGACTTTGTTGTGCCTTTAGTTGTAGGTTAAATAGAGACGGTATAATAATTAGCACTAGTTGTTTATACTATTAGTGAGAAAAAATTATGTTCACAAATAAATATAAACTTTTAGAACCAAATTTACACTAGTCAACTACAAATTATAAGGTGGCACTATTTTAACAACATATTTTTTGTGACCACATTTTTGTGTATATTTTTTTTAATACAAATTTTAAGGCAAACAATGATTTTGTCGCAAATTGTATACTATATTGGTGACGAAACTAGTTTGTCGCCGATAGCTTTAAATTTGTGGCTAATGTTACTCGGTGTTTGTTTGGTGGAAAACGTTAGTGGACAAAACTTCTGCTACAAAATTTGCGTTTCGTCACTAAAAGTATGTCCCTCATGCAATTTTTGTCACAAACAACTAATAATTAGTGACGGACTTTTGGTGGTAGCTAATTGCGTAGGTTAAATATAGACGACTTGATGATTGTCACTAATTGTTTATGCTATTGGTGACAAAAACTAAAGTCACAAAAAATATATAATTTATGGCTAAAGTATGCACCATTTAACTACAAAATTCTAATAAAACCTTTGCTCAACAATATTATTCACCCTTCTCAGACTAGTTTTATAAAGGGTAGGAGAGCCTTTGACAATGCCATTATAGTGCATGAAGTCCAAAACTACTTCAAAAATACAAAAGGAAATAGAGGGAAAATCATGATCAAAATTGATTTAGAAAAGGCCTTCGACAAACTGGAATGGTCCTTCATTAGATTCTCCCTAAAATCCCTAAACTTTCCAGATGAGCTAATAATGTCCTGTGTATCTTCCACATCCACCTCCATTCTCATAAATGGTTCAAACACAGATTTCTTCACCCCTACTAGAGGCATTAGGCAAGGAGATTCCCTATCCCCGTATATATTCATAATTTGCATGGAAATGCTCTCTAGGCTCATTGACCATGAAGTAGACTGCCTTAGATGGGACCCTATAACCTTATCTAAGAAGGGCCCCCAATTATCTCACCTTTTCTTTGCTGACGACCTCATTCTTATGATGGAGGCAAACCAAAAAAGCTGTAACTCTCTCATAGATACTTTGAATAAATTCTGTGAGTTTTCCGGCCAATCCATCAATTTCAGCAAATCAAAAATTATCTTTTCAGAAAATACCCACCCTGATAAACAGACTCTACTCAGTAGGTGTTTAAATATGAAAATATCCTGCTCAATAGGGAAATACCTGGGCTTCCCCATAACAAACTAGAGGTTATCCAAAAAGGACTTCCAATTTATTATTGATAATCCAAACAACAAACTAAAAGGATGGAAAAGCCGCTTCCTGAACCTAGCAGGAAGAACCACTCTCATTAAAGCAACTCTTACAGCCATTCCCAACCACAACATGCAAATCTTTGATCTACAAAAACTACCCAAAACCAGATAGATTCCATCCAACGAAACTTCCTATGGGGTAGCACGGAGGAAAAAAGAAAGTGTCACCTCCTAAATTGGAATAAAGTCACTTCTCCAAAAAATCAGGGAGGCCTAGGACTCTATAAAACCAGCTACAAAAATAAGGCCTTCAGCACTAGCCTTGCCTGGAGATACTTAAACAACAAAGAAGCCCTTTGGGTTAAGATTCTACACAGTAAATATGATAGGATTGCCCCTCGCAATAACAGATTAATCCCTAATCCTGGATCCTCACATATCTGGAAAAACATTCACAATGGAA